CAAATGCTGGCATGGGTGTAGAGAGATAGGAACACTTATACACTGTTGGTGGGACTGCAAACTAGCACAACCTCTATGGAAAGTAGTATGGAGATACCTCAAAGAACTAAAAGTAGACCTACCATTTGATCCACAAATCCCACTATTGGGTATTTACCCAAGGAAAAAAAAATCACATTTTATAAAAAAGACACCTGCACCCAAATGTTTATAACAGCATAATTCACAATTGCAAAGATGTGGAAACCCAAGTGGCCATCAGTACACAAGTGGATTAATATTAAATAAAATGTGGTATATGTATACCATGGAGTACTACTCAGTCATTAACCCTTTGCACTTGCTTGCTTTTTTCTTAATTACTTTATTCTACCTAACCGTGTCCAATCACACTCGACATCCGAGTGCAAAGGGTTAAAAAAAATGGTGAACTAAGACCTCTTGTATTAACCTCGTTGGAACTGGAAATCATTCTTCTAAGTGAAGTATCATAAGAATGGAAAAACAGGCTGGGTGCGGTGGCTCACGCCTGTAATCCCAGCACTCTGGGAGGCCGAGGCGGGCGGATTGCTCGAGGTCAGGAGTTCGAAACCAACCTGAGCAAGAGCGAGACCCCGTCTTACTATAAATAGAAAGAAATTAATTGCCCAACTAATATATTATAGAAAAAATTAGCTGGGCATGGTGGCGCGTGCCTGTAGTCCCAGCTACCTGGGAGGCTGAGGCAGGAGGATTGCTTGAGCCCAGGAGTTTGAGATTGCTGTGAGCTAGGCTGACGCCACGGCACTCACTCTAGCCTGGGCAACAAAGTGAGACTCTGTCTCAAAAAAAAAAAAAAAGAATGGAAAAACAAACACCGGGAGACAGTAAGCAGGTAGACACATGGCTCAACCATCTTAAAATTGGAACTAATCGAACAACGCTTATGTGCACATATGGAAATAAAACTCATTGGAAGTCACACAGGTGGGACGGTGGCAGAGGGGATGAGTAAATTCACACCTGACAGTACAATGCACACTATCTGGGGGATGGGCACACTTTGACTCAAACTGTACATAAGCAGTTTATATAACCAAAATGTTCATACCTCCATAATATTCTGATATAAAATAAAGTAAAAATATATTAAATTGTAAAAAAGCACTTACTGTGTGCCCAAAATCCTTCAAGGTGATTTACAAATATAAGCTAATTTTGCTCTCTAAGTGCTATATGAGTGTTGGTTCTGGCTGTTGTTAGACAATGAACAGGTTGACGTTGCTTGGAGACCCAGGATCTATAGCCAAAAGAGACTTCTGGATCCTTCTTAAACTAACATGGGCATAAAAGGCCAACCCTAGGGTCACACAGTTCTAAGGCTAGAAAATTGTATTTCATAGAAGAATAAACTGATATAATTATTAATTTGATAATTATTTAGTGAATTCTTTAAAGACAAAAGACGGTACTACAATAATGTTAAATATAACTTATTGTCTTAAATTTATCTTCTTGAAGCTAGACTCAGATTCTTAACCAAAAGGAATGTTTTAGCATGCATCCTCAGTTTGCTTCCTCGGGGCCAACACAGAGACTGTCTTCATTTGTAAGTTACATATCTGACTCCTGCCCAGGGAAGATAAGGCTTTATTGGCTGGATGAGGTGGCTCACACCTGAACTGCTTGAGGATAGGAGTTCAAGACCAGCCTGAGCAAGACCCTTTCTCTACAAAAAGAAAGAAAATTAGCCAGGTGTGGTGGTGGGTGCCTATAGTCACAGCACCAGGAGCGAGGGCAGGAGGATGCTGGAGCCCAGGAGTGTGAGCTATGATGATGCCTGCACTCTACCCCTGGGCGACAGAGCGAGACCCTGTCTCAAAAAAAAAAAAAAAAAGGCATGACTTCTAAGGATCCTGTAGTCATTATAATAAGATAATCAGAGACCATTATGAACAATTTGGGGCCAGTAAATGTGGTAGCTTCAATGAAATGGATAAATTCCTTGGAAAATATAACTTACCAAAAGTTACGGAAAATATGAATAGCCCTCTATCTATTAAGGAAATTGCATTAATTATCAAAAACCTACCTACCAGCCGGGTGTGGTGGCTCATGCCTGTAATCCTAGCACTCTGGGAGGCCGAGGCGGGTGGATTGCTCGAGGTCAGGGTGTTCGAACTGCCTGAGCAAAGAGTGAGACCCCCCTCTCTACTATAAACGAAATAAATTAATTGGCACTATATATTAAAGAAATTACGGGCTTGCTGCAACAGCCTGTAGTCCCAGCTACTCAGACGCCTGAACAGGAGGATCAACTTGAGCCCAGGAGGATTCGGGTTGCTGTGAGCTAGCTGACACCAGGCGATTCACTCTAGCCTGGCCAACAAGCGAGACTGTCTCCAAGAAGGAAGGAAGGACGGAAGGAAGAGAGGAAGGAGGAAGGAAGAAGAGGAGGAGGAGGGAGGGAGGAGGGAGGGAGGAGGGAGGGAAGGAAGAAGAAGGAGAGAAAAGGGAGGGGAGGAGGAAGGAAGGAAGGAAGGAAGGAAAGGAAGGAAGAGGAGAGAGAGAGAGAGAGAGAGAAGAGAGAGAGAGAAAGAAAGAAAGAAAGAAGAAAGAAAGAAAGAGAAAGAAGAAAGAAAGAAAGAAAGAAGAAAGAAAAATTGCCAACTAAATAACATATAGAGAAAATTAGCCAGCATGGTGGCAACATGCCTGTAGTCCTAGCTACTCAGGAGGCAGAGGCAGAAGGATGGCTTGAGCCCAGGAGTTTGAGTTTGCTGTGACTATGCCACAGCACTATAGCCCCACAACAGAGCGAGACTCTGTCTCAAAAAAAAACCTACCTACCAAGAAAACTCCTGGCATACATACATGGTTTCTGTATTGAATTCTATTAAATATTCAAAGAAGAAATAACTCTAATCTTACACAAACTCTTTTAGAAAATAAAAGGGGAGGGAGGGGCAGAGATTTCCCAGCTCGTTTTATGTGGTAATGTCACCTGATACCAAAAATCTGACAAAGACATCTAGAAAAATTATAGACCAATATTCTTCCTAAACACAGACTAAATTCCTTAACAAAATATTGGCAGACCAAATCCAGCAACAGATAGAAAGGATTGTGCACCTTGACCAAGTAGGGTTTATCCCAGTAATGCGAGCTTGTTTTTGACATTGGTGAATCAATCAGTGAAATCCTCATATCACTAGAATAAAGGAGAAAATGCAGAAAAAGCATTGGAGAGTATTCAAAACTCTTTTATGATAAAAAAAAACTCTCAGCAAACTAACAATAGAGGGAAACTCCTTCAATCTGATAAAAGGCATCTGTGAAAAACCTACACCGACATTCTACTTAATGGTCAAATATTGGACAGTTTATCCCTAAAATCAGCAACAAGGATGACACCTGCTCTCACTACTTCTATCCAACATTGTACTTCTATCCACTGTACTAAGGTAAGAAAAAAAGTAAACTAAAATCATAAAGATTGGAAAGGAAAAAGTAAAACTGCATTTATTTGCAGATGACATGATTATTTATGTAGAAGATCCTAAGAAATTTACAGAAAACTGCTAGAACTATTGTGTAAATTTAGCAAGATCTCAGAAATAAAGGTTAATATGCAAAAAATAATTATATTTTTATATACTAGCAGCAAACTATTAGAAAATGAAATCATAAATTACATTCCATTTGCAATTACAAAAAATAAAATACTTCTCAAAAAATGTGGGCCAGGCAAGGCGGCTCACGCCTATAATCCTAGCACTCTGGGAGGCTGAGGCGGGAGGATCACTCGAGGTCAGGAGTTCGAAACCAGCCTGAGCAAGAACAAGACCCCGTCTCTACTAAAAATTTCAAGAAATTAATTGGCCAACTAAAAATATACAGAAAAAATTAACTGGGCATGGTGGTGCATGCCTGTAGTCCCAGCTACTCAGGAGGCTGAGGCAGGAGGATCGTTTGAGCCCAGGAGTTTGATGTTGCTGTGAGCTAGGCTATTGCCACGGCACTCCTAGACCTAGGGCGACAGACGTAGACTCTGTCTCAAAAAAAAAAAAAAAAACCAAAAAGCATTGCAGACCTC